TTATTTTAAAATTTAAAAATTTGTAATTATATTTTATATTTTAAAATTATTTATATTATTTATATTATTTATAAACTCTAATTATTTTTTTATATTACAATTTTTTATAAATATACATGTATATATATGTACAATTTTAAAATTATTACTTTTATTTTTTGTTTATTAATTTAATTTTTTATTACTATTTATTTTTATGAATGAGCATGTTTATTTAAAAGTATTCATCTAATATTAATTAAAATATTAAATAATAATAAATTTTTTTTAATAGAACTTGAAAATAACTTGAAATGTTATAAATATTTTTAGTAACTTATATATCATTTCATTTTAAGGTTGTTGGTACATTCGTGCGCTGATGTTCCATTGATGTTCTATTATTGCAACAATATCTTATGATAATAATAGATTCTTTTTCAGTTAAAACAAAAACCAAAAGATGGCAACTTGGCAGAATACACCTGGTGCAGATTTTTATGCAGGGCAACAAGGTTCTGATCTTTTTTCTAAGTTATACACATTCTTTATTATAATATATTATATTTCTAACATGCAACATAATATTTAGCAACTGCAAATACACCATGTTGCTTGTTTGAAGTTGCAATCATCTTTCAAGAATTATCTATTAAATTATCTATTGATACTTTTATTATCTATGATCATTTAAAAAAAAAAAATAATAGTATTTGATCATATGTATAACAAATCAATGAAACTGTTCAGGACTGTAAATGTATTAAAAAAATTACATAAATTATTTAAAATTAATTAATTAAATTAATTAAAATTATAAATTATAAATTAAGGACTAATTATAAATTAATATATATAAAGAAAAATATGCACCAATATTTAGAGCCTGTTAATAAAGCACAAAATTTTGTAAAAAATAACGCTTAATTTAGATAAAGATTCTATTACATTTAATATTCTATGTCTTTAAAATTTGATTACAGGTTATCCTCAACAAAATCCTGCATATCCACATCAAGAAGGATTTAATCCTGGATATCCACCTCCTTACGGAGCAAATCCACCACCACCAGGTCAATTTAATATCTTTTTTTTTTCTATTATTTTAGTTTGTTTATAATGATATCATATGATATTTTTTTTTATTTTCAGGTCCTGGTTTTATTCCTCCAGGTGCACCTCCTTACGGACAAGTTCCACCACCTGGCTTAATATTTGGTACAACACCACAAGCAGGCATGTATGGATCAAATTATGCAGAAGATCCTATGCAATCTGATGATATCAAAGGATTTGAATTCAATGAGAAATCCATTAGAAATGGATTCATCAGGTATTATTATTAAAAATATATATTTTATATATTTATATATATTCTATATATTTTCATTTTAATTTTTACCTCTTTTTAGGAAAGTATATAGTATATTGATGTGTCAACTTTTGATCACAGTAGGAATGATTGCACTGTTCCTTTATCATGCTCCAACTAATAAATTTGTAATGACGCATCCAGAGTTATTTTGGATTTGTTTTGTTTCAACTATTGTCTTGATTATATGTATGGCTTGTTGTTCCAGTGTGAGACGAAAAGCTCCTATGAATTTCGTATTTTTGTTTTTATTTACAATAGCAGAAGGTTTTTTATTAGCTACTGCTGCTTCTACATTCAAATCTGAAGAGGTAATTACGTGTATATATATATATATGCATAATGCATTAATATTATTAATGTTTTTTAATTTTTTAATTTATATTTTTTATTAAATAAAAATGAAATATTTTTTTATACTTACAGGTACTATTGGCTGCTGGAATTACTTCAGTTGTTTGTCTTGGATTAACATTATTCGCATTTCAAACAAAATTTGATTTCACTGGTCTTAATAGCATACTCTTTGTTGCATTACTAATTTTCGTAGTGTTTGGAATATTTGCAATGATATGGCATGGAAAAATTATGACACTAGTATATGCATCGATTGGAGCTTTACTTTTTTCTATTTATTTGATTTATGATACACAAGTGATGATCGGTGGTAAACATAAGTATTCCATTTCTCCAGAAGAATATATCTTTGCAGCACTAAACCTTTATATAGATATTATCAACATTTTCCTTTATATTTTAACAATTATTGGTTCTTCGCGAAATTAAATACTATAAAATATATTTTCTTTGTTGCCGAATTAATGTTTAATGCAAAATGCTTTCATTCATCATTGTTTTATTTTGACTCTCTTTTATTTGTATATAGAGAGTACATTAGAAACAATGAAAGATAAAAAAAAGTAGCAGAGAGGCAATAATTTCTATGGAATAATAGCTTTTACACAATTTTCAAAGTATAAATAACACAGAGAAAAATTATATTATTTTAAAGTTGAATATCTAGTCTTGTAAGACAAATAATTCCTATTAAAAAATCTATTAAAAAAAAAATAAACCAACTGTTATATAATTAAGAATATAAATAAGCTTATATATAAAACCTAAACACAATTTATATATTTACTCATGATTTTCAACTCATTTTTTTTATTAAAAGAAAGTATTATTTTTGTTTTCATTAAACTTACTTAAACAAATATATTTTATTTTGTAAAAAACGGTTTATTATTATTTAAGAATATGAATTCCGAATATCCAATAAATAATTGATTTAATTGTTGTAATATATAATATGAAATACATTTTGACGATATTAATGTCTGTGCGTTAGATATAGTTACACTTAAATATAATTCTAAATTATCCTAATAATGTATACATATATTTATTCATTATATATGTTAGAAAATAGATATTATATTATTTGAACATATTTGCATAATAAAATAAAAATTTCAAAGTATTAAATAGTATTACTATTTTTTTTTTATTATACAACTTCGTTTTACTTTTGATATTGCAATGATTTGGCTGTGATATGTAAACATATAAATATATAATATTATAATATAACAATAATGTAAGTAATAATATTACATGTATATATAATTACTATCAATAATTATTATTTCTTCATGTAATGATATATAATGATAAAGTCACTTTCCTTATTCACTATCTGTTATTATAATTTATATTTATTGCAAAGGGAAATAAAAACATTTATTTCGAAATCGTGAATATTTATATTTGTAGTAAATTAGTCTTACACAAATAGGATAAAAGCTCTTGATTTTTAAGCTTTCAAATTTTAACTTAAGATGTAAATAAGCATATATAGTGCAATGACTGTATGAAAAAGCATTCAATATTCACTTAAGTTTTTTTAAGATCAAAAGACGTCCACATTCATTCTCACTTTTCTCATTATGGTAACAAATTGCAGCCTCATAACAAATTCCTAGTTGACTTTGTTCGTGGAACAATGCATGGAATTTTACATAGAAAATAAAGCTCCATCAGAAATATATATTATTGATTTTTTTTTCATTATAAAAGTTATGATAGAGCTTTAATGCTTGGTATACATGCAATAGACACATTTATAAGTACAATCATATATGTGACAAACAGCATTTATAACCCACCCTTTAAAAAAAATCCAGGTATAATTAAAAAACTTCACTTTCAAATTAGAATTATCTTTTTTGTTTTATACTTTGAATTAAATTTAGATATATTTTAATTAGAAATTTTTTCAAATAATTTCAATCGAATTTGAATTAGGCAGTGTTGTGAAGAGTTTAATTATACTATTATGCTTTAAATTATGCTCTAAATCTATCCACAAATCTATTTTGAGTGGCACGAGCTGATATATATTATATTATGCGCCATTAAAATAAATAATATAAGATTAGCAGCACCGATTAGAATTTCTTTCCACCCTTCGATCAACTGTTACTCTATCAGGAGCATCTTGTGGTTCTTTTCCATGAGTTTTTTCCAATATTGCTTCAGCTAATTCACTAAATGCACGATCAATGTTAATATTTGCTTTTGCAGATGTTTCCATAAATCTAATTCCATGCTCTCTTGCTATCTAAAAGAAAATATTAATTTACTATTTTGTGATATTTATAATTTACATATAATTTAAATAAATATATACTAAAAATATAAATAATACTTTACCGCCTCTCCTCTTTCTGTGCTAACAACACGTTTGTCTTCCATATCACTTTTGTTTCCCAATATCATTTTTTCCACATCTTCGTTTGCATGCTAAAATGATAATTTTAAAAATATAAATAATCTATATCATCTATTATATGTAATAAAAAATTTATTACAATACTTACTTCATCAATATTTCTTAACCATTTAACAATATTTTCAAACGTTTTTTCATTAGTAATATCATAAACAAGCATAATACCCATTGCACCTCTGTAATATGAGGTAGTAATAGTATGAAATCTTTCTTGACCAGCTGTATCCCTGAAAATATATATATTAAGGATTGTTTAAAAAACTTTAATATATCCATAACTTACCATATTTGTAACTTGATTTTCTTTCCTCTTAATTCCACTGTCTTGATTTTAAAATCAATACCTAAGTAACAAAAAATATATTGTTTATTTATGCAACATACTTCACAGTATATATATTAACATTTATTTATATAAAACAATCAATTTTGACAACAATGTTGTCAAACAATTATTTTAAAAATATAAATTTTTTTATATACTTAACAAAATAAAAAAATAATTATATTTCAATATTCAATTATTTCTTGTTTATTTTCAATTTACAATATCATATTTTTGTCTTAATAGCATAACCTACTATATTGAAAAGAATTTATAAAGTAACGGTTTGATTTAAGAAATGTATGAATAATTATTATTTATAACGGTTCTCCTACCTATAGTAGAAATAAATGTTGTTGAAAAAGCATCATCAGAAAATCTAAACAATATACAAGTTTTGCCAACTCCGGAATCACCAATTAGCAATAACTTGAACAACAGATCGTATGTCTTTTTCGCCATTTCACTGTTGCTCTGCGTTAACGAGGCGCCGAAGAAAACAAAAAAGATTCAAATCCGTAGAACACAATTAATAGTTTTCCAGATAATATTTCAAACATCGAACGCTATGAACGATTATAGGTTTCAAGGTCGGACGAGGGCGCGTCTCGGTGTCTCGTTAACGACGGAAAAACCGGTCACAGGGGCTGACTATTAAAAGACAATACGACGTCACACAACAGAGCAACACGCAGAAGCATCAGGGTAACTTTGCACTTTGCGTTCGACTATACGACTGAATAGATCAAATAACATTTACTAATACGATCGCATCTTCATTGTAATTAGCAGTAATCATAAAAGTCTGCCGGGTTCAATTGCGAATATTCTATCTACCACGGGAGGTCACCACCACTGCAAAAATAATTTTAAATTATCCGGATAAATAACGGGATAAATATATAAAATTATTGCTTATTTTATCGATTTGTACTAACATTTATATACGATTTTATATCATTTGTTTTGTATTAATGCTTATTGATATATTATTATAATACTACAAAACGTAATGTATTTTTTTTTATATTTGAGATATTATAAGATTAATAAAACAATACGATCATTAACACATTAAAAATTAATCAATGATAAAGTATATTATTTATAATTAAAATGTTTCATTATATTTTTAGGTATTTGTAATATTATATATAGTGCATAAATATTTTGATAAAAATTGTATGGCATAATTTAATATATATTCAAATGTGATTCTAAAGGGTAGTAATAGCACAGACAAATTATAATATAGACTTCTTATTCAATGCACTTTTTAGTCACAAGAATTTGGAAATCAAATAATTACTTTATCATTTTTGTATCATGCACTACATTATCGATTCAGTACAGTAAAACATTATAACCATAGATCACAAATTATAGAATAATAAATATATATTTATTAACTGATTGTCACGCTGTAGCCGTAATATCCTGAAACTATAATAATAAAAAAAAATAATAAAGATAAAAAAAAAATTCTACTTATTCGATAACCAATAAAAGAAAGACGCTTTTATTACAGAAGGTGCTATAAAGAAAACTGGCATATAAAATTAAATTTAAAATTAAAATTTAAACTAAAAAATTTTTATAAATATTTTATATTTCTATTATCATAATAAAGAAAAATAAAATTATATTTTATATTAAAAATCATAAATTAAAATGATTGAATCATAAAAGAAGATTATTTTCTAAAGTGGATAAGATGGAGTAAGAATTAAATATTACTGCCATCTTTTTAGTGCTTAAAAAATATTTCTTTTAACAAGATATTTAAAATATCAACCAAAAAAAAATCAGAGTTACGCCATCTAACGTAATTTATCTTAACTATAAACACAATATTATCACTCAATGATATAAAGAAAAAAAAATCTTATGATTTTAAGATTTAAAACGAGAATATTATATCTCACTTTAAAAAATAAAAAAATTATCTACGAAAAATATAATTATTATAATACATACATATAAATACAATTAGCTCATATTATTTCTTATAAAATATATAATTGTATTATATAACGGATATTAGCTATACGATGATATAATTATAATATCATATATTAAATAATATGATTTTCCACTATGTCTCACCGTTTTGAGATTGCTGCGAATTGGAGACTCTCCCTGATAACGACGTCCATCACCCTCCATTTATACGAAAATTTATTTATTCACAATTCTCTTTTATGTGGTATATGTTTGCAAAACGTTCAAACTTTTGATCGTTGTGCAACACGAGCAACAAAAAGAGCCGTAA